ACACTGAACACACACACACACACACACACACACACACACACACACACACACACACACACACACACAATCACAGAGCACTTCCTTCACAAACAGGTGCATTTTTGCCTTTAGCTCGTTGTTTTTGTGGTAAATTGGTGCTGGGTATACAGTATATACTATATGCTTTGTCACTGAAATAATAACAAAACTTCAGTAGAGATGTTAATATTCTGATGATTCATTTCAATTTTCGATTTCTTTCAAATTTGCACACTGTCAGAGTCATTYGGTTGTTTCTTATTCTCAGTGTTTCTAATGAGAAAGGCCTTCTGTTGGCCCCACTWCAATAAAGGCCTCACAAATGGAGCACTGTGCTGCTGATGTGCTGTAAGGCTTTCCAATCTATATATATTTAAAAAAAAAACTCCCGATTTCCTTCATCATGCCGTACTTTGTGTCTGGCAATCAGTCTGATAGCACTTTTGGCTGGGGAAAAAGATTTAGGAACCCTGCTGGTAATTTTATGCCTCTTACATTTAAAACATTTAACATGATGATGACTCTTTAGTCTTTTGGTCTTTACAGAAATTGCTTTGCATATTCAGATACAAGAAATCCTGTCAACAACTAAAATCTGAATTATAGTAAAATAATGTGAATTATAGTAAAAGAATCTGAATTACAGTACATAAAATCCACGAGATGTAAGACATTACCTATGTTTACATGGACATCAGCCTGGATAGATTCTCATTTGTTGAGGGAGCTGATGAGAGCAGCAGGAGTCACAGAATGACTYTTGCCCCTCAAACTGATCAAAATACGTCCAAGTAGCCCATGTCTTTTGAGGGTTTTGAGATTCAAAATAATCTGACTCTTATCACAGTTGTATCCAAACTGCTGCATACATTTATCTAGTCTTTGTGCCAATAGTTTGTGTTTGTTTCCTCCACTGCAGCAAGGAGCTTGTGAGTCTCAAAAAAAAAAAAAAAAAACCTCAGAAAGTTTTAAATCTACAAGGAGTCCAGCAATGATGGTTTGATTTAAGAAACACGTGTCTGGGTGGTCCCACAAGGTGTCAGCACTAGCTGGCCCACCTTTAAGGAGTCGGTGAGTATTGTTCCTGTCATTATGTCGCACAGAGGTTGAGAGACACAACAGACAGTGGTGTCTTTGTCCCCTGTCTCCACCTCTGTTTGTCTTCTGAATGGACCGAGGTGTTCAGAGCACACGTCAGTAATGTTATGGGGCATCTTCTGAAAAAGCCTTAAGACATTCTGTGAAGCCATAAAAGAGCAGTGGGTGTYACATTCCGAGGATCATGTGCGTCATATAAATGTTCCACAAAGTCACATTTGTCCATTAATAAGTTCACTGCTCACTCTTGAATGTCAAACTATATGTTTGTAAATGCTCACAAGCAGCCTTTTTTCCTTTAATTCTTAATTTACTCAACACGCCACAGACCTCACACCCCCCAAGCCCCGCCCCTTTTCACCCTGCCCCATAATACCACACGTCACATAATATCTAACCCTAATTTATACCTTAAATTTCAGTTTATTTCCCTTTCCTCACATTCTTCTTAGTCTACACAGTGTATCAAAAATGTTATGATGTGTTAAGGAAAGAAACAATAGCAGTTCAGCTACTTTGGGTAAGCCATGAAACCGCAGAGACTGCTACACTGTAGAATACAGAATTTCTTCTTCTTCTGCAAAACTCCCTCAAAGTTTCAACTCTTTATTCTTCTTGTTYGCCTTTATTGTTTTCACTTTGTCCCAGATTGCTATCATTTATTTCTCTCTTTTTCTTACACCTTGCTTTCTGTCTTTGAATCCTTGTTTTGTTTCTGTTTACCATTCGAGTCAGTGTTTTAGCTTTTAATATTTGATGTACAGCAGATTGTAATTCTTTGCTCAGCTGTGAGAAAACAATATAACCAAAGCTGTGCCTTACAGCACCTGTCTGTCTGTTCGGACTTTTTGAACAAGACTCTGTTGACGAGCTTAAATTTGAGTCGGCAGTGGATTGCTCCTGTT